CTAGTCCAGGGTGCAGGAGGAGAGTGCAGCTGCAGATCAGGTGACCCAAAAAAAAAATCTCTTGCGACCCACCTGAGGGTCGCGACCCAGTCTTTGAACAATGGTTTATAGTACTAAAAAACAAGACACTTAACCCACCTCACCTCCAGTGTCTGTGTACACTGGTATATTAATGTGTGTGTGTGTGAATGGGTGAGTGGTTCCTTGATGTAAAGTAGTTTAAAGATGGAAAAATGCTATATAAAAATATGACCATTTACCCTATATATATTCATTAATTCTCTTATGGAATACTGCCTATAGTACTGATTACTGCTTAGAGTCAAATAGAGGGGAAGCTGCTCCAGAGGTCAACAGAAAGACTTGGATTTTTGATGTGGGGATAAAAAAAAAATACTGTTAACTGAATGTAGCTTAAAGGGATCATTATGAGAGGGAAGCAGAGAGAGAGGAGCAGGTGAGAGACAGTACAGAAGTCTGACCGTAGTTTCAACTCCAAAGGCTCAGCAAGTGGAGAGACGTCAAGATGGGTGAAGTCTGTGAAAAGGGTAATTGCACATGCACGCTATATCACAGAGAAACAAAGATCATGACATGCAACATATATATGTTTAGAGTTTAGAGGGAAAACTCAATGGGATCTGAAATACACGTGCACTTCTATGAAACATTTTGCCGAAATAGAATACAATTGTAGGAAAATTAAATAATAAAAAATTCCTTGGTTTAATATTTTTTTTAAGTAAAAAGAGAGAGATAGATACAGATACTCAATAGGACAAGTGGTGTATTTTTTTTTGCACTTAAGACTTAAAATACAACTTTGTAACTTTCCTTTAAGCAGTTGCTCGACCCAAAATAAATATCTTATATCTACCTATTCCAGCTGATTTAAAGTTAATAGCAGATATGCCAAAGTGCAAATACCAGCCAACCAATACTTCTATCTCTAACTCTAACAAAGAGGACAAGACACCAACCTGCACTTATCAGAGCTGGATCCAACCATCAACCCTTGGGTATATTTGACAAACCACAGAGCTACTACACACCATTTACAAGGGGGAAAAAAATAACACATGCATAAAATTTGCACAGCACACATAATTCATGTTCTGTTTGCGGTAACCATCTTTCTCCAGGACACTGTCAATCATGCTTTTTGTGACAAGGCAAATATGAGGAAAATCCAAAACAAAATAAAACACTGATACATTTCTTTCACTTTGCATCATCCAACAGAATCCTAATCCTGTCTCTCCATTGTTTACTCCATGTCTGAGCCCAGAGAACGCCTGCAGGTCAGAGAGGCTTTGGAAGAGAGACTGGAGCGCTCAAACACTGGAGGGGAATTCTGTCTTTGAAATGACACTCAGATTATGGGCGGGTTCATTCCTAGACAAAATGGAATCTATCTTTGGAATTTTGTGTAATTTTTAGGGGATGAGATAAAAATGCCAAGGGATAAGATGTGATTTTGACCAAAATATGTTCTGTGCTATGTCCTTATTCATTATACATTTTAGGGAATTCCTTAAAGAGCTGCATACATTAAATGCAAGCTCTATATTAGTAGTAAATAATAAATAACAAAAATATATAAAAAATACATTGATGTCAGTAATGACAAGTAATCTTACAGCATTTTCATTTTGCAAAATACTGACATGCATCCACAATCATTTCTAATTTAAAGGTCTACAATGTTACCCAGGCTAGCTCCACCTAGTGTCTCCGCTCAATTTCATTTCTCTTCAGCAACTAGGTCAGGAATCAGAACATAATAGACGTTTCGCAAAAACCCCAGAAGTGCAAGTTCGGGCACAAGCCAATCAGCGAAGAGCCATATATTCAGTGTTGTCAAGGATTCCTGAGATCGAGGATTTAAAGCTGATATACAAGGAGAGTGTTTGGTGAATTTCATCAAGGGGAAAGATGTTACTCCCCTTCTTTCTATGGGATTTGGGAAAAGCTTAATATACCATTTAGCCCTGTTAGCGGCGCATTACATACGTCACGACCAAATAGCAGCAACTGGTTAAATGATAAAAAGTACCCGCCTACTGTCGAGCGAACAAAATCTAAGGCTGTGAGGTCAGAAGGTTTGTATGAAGTGAAACGAAGTAAAACCGGCAGATGAATCAGGCTACTACAATGTAACTTCAGTGGTGTATTGCTTGACCAGGAATGTTCCACAGTATGGCATTAAACTACTCTATTATGGAGGCAAGCAGATCACTCTACTAGGTTAGTTACAAGTCAGATCTGCGAAGTCGCGACCCCACTCACAGTAAGAATGAACTTTTTCCATTTTCTTTGACAACTGTACGTGAATAAATGCAACATAAGTAGTTGTAATGCCATACTGTGTAGCATTCTTCAACACTTTTTCTACCAGCACATCCTCTAGGCAAAATTGGTAGCTAAATATTTCTATAATGCTCCCTACAAAGGCTTCTGTGTATAGCTTGCACAGACCGTACTTACCAATCACCATATCTTTTTCTTACTGAAAGCAGAGAATAACATAGAGAATAAGACTCAAAGCCTCGTGGGCCTCTTTGATGGTGTGGAGCTTATTTGTACTATATTCTATGGATTATATATGGAGTGTCAATTACTATCCATATTGTTTGTTTACGTTCATCGCCACTCCAGCATATAGTCTATTAAAATAACATGAAAACACCTGGATGAATCTGCTCAGAGGGAGTTACATGTACAAAAACAAATCATTTGTTTATTGTAGAAAACCATGCAGCACTACCTGATGGAAGGAAATACATTTGAAAGAACTGCAGCTTTTTGAATTATTTTTTGAATATCAGTACTGAATAGTTGTTGATAATATGATCTTGTCTGTATTGAAGCATCGGTTTTAATCCATTTTATTTCTATACAAATGGATTAATTTTTTTTTTTTTTCATTAGGTTGATGCTGTTAATGATGGGCTGTTAATCTGGAATTTACCATTGTTTGAATTATCTATTAGTATTTTATATTATCTTACATTTATTCAATTACAAGTGTTTTTAATTGCTTCAAAATACCTTGAAAAACATAAATTATTACTGAGAGCAGACTGGCTTAATCATCAGTTGACTTTGACAGTTTGACAACTTTTCTTATTTTCATCCCATGCTTTAAGTTTAATGCCAAACTGTGGAACATTTCAGGCTAAGATATGACCTCTCCATAGTGCCGACGATCCACTAGAAAAGTTACATAGTGCATCTGTAAGTAGTTTATTATAAATAAATAAATACATTTAGTCTTAAGTTTAATGATACAGCATTTTAGTCAACAAGGCTTACCAGTGCATACTGAAATTCTTGTTTAGCCACCTTACCTTCATTTAAACACTACTTTTTGAATAGTGATGCATCCATTCCGGAGATTTCTGTTCCTTCCACCCATTATCTTGTCCGGAGTTGAAAAGGCAGAAAAAAGGTGGAGCGAGATAGAAGAGAGAGAGCAGATAGAAGAGAGACAAGACAATGGTCAGAGCAAAAACACCACTCAAATCTGACACAGGGAAACAACCTGGAAACTTGAAAACACTTATGTATCCCTGGCGGCACTATAGTGATAGAAAGGATAGAAATATAGTAAAGGTGGGCTAATTGTCTTGCCCAAGAGCACAACCACAGAGCAAACCATTAAGAGCAGTATTCATTTAGTACATCCTTTTTTTTATTTGGTTCAGAGAACAGAAAAGAGAATGGAGAGTAGAAAACTCAATGGCTTTTAGCTCAGAATTTCCCAGCTTGGCTCGTTGTAAAAAGGACTGTGTGGCCAATAATGTGAGTATGCTTTTGAGAGCTTTATTTTGCTGCTAATACAGAACAATTGAGCTCTTTGTACCTTTTAAAGCAAACTGCGTCTGCAAAGGTTAGCTTTTGAACCTGCTGTGAACTGGATTCAGCAGAGGCCCACAAGAATCAATGTTCTTTTAAAACTGCCCAAAGACTAATTATTCACTCTGACTTTATTTTATTACAGCATTTATTTGCTTTGAGCCCTGCCTTCCACCATGTTGTATTGTAAACACGAGATATGCAGATCCACATTATGCCTACGGGTCTATTTAAAAACATTCACAGCAAATGCTTTCCATGAGAAAAATAGATAAAAGAAAATGGAGCATCACGATTGTATTTGCAGTACCAACAGTAATAATATTCTTTGCACCAAATAAACATTACAACAACGGTGAAGATGATGATGAGAATACACAGGGCAACTTTGTGGACTGGGTGAAACAGAACTACCACCTCATCAACACAGGTAAGTTAAAGGAGATAGTGGTGGACCACTGTGGGCTACTGTTTACTGTTCCCTCACCATAAAACATCCAGAGAAAGGACAAGGAAAACTCTTACCTTTGTCTGAGACTGTAATTTATTCCAATTTATCTTACTTTAAATCTGTTTTGTTTTTGATTAAGGACCTTGTTTTTCCATTAGGGAACCTCTAGTGTACCTTGAGATCTTGCCAGGTGTGCTTTGAAAAAGAAAATCTAAGTAAATGTATTCAAACAGGGATATCATTTGAAAACTTATCATTTCGGAGTGTTCTGAACAAACTTCTAATGTGGTGTAGAAAGCAAAACAATCACCAGAACTAGACCCAGTGGCACAGACAATATTTACACCACAATTGTTTCCACCGATGAAACCATCTCTACATTAAACCACTCCTGGACGAATGAAGGATTACACTGTCTCTTTTCTCCTAAATGTTGTAATTTAGTAATATTTTAGTAAGTCATGTGCTGTGGAAGCTTTTAAACTAAAAATGTGCTGTTAGTCAAAAAATAAATAAATAAATCACATAAAAATCTGAAAGTTTCTTTATAAAAACTATGATCCCAAAAGGGAATTTGTCTTCCCCCTGGGATAGTGTGAGTCTCTTCTTGCTCTGAGGCTGTCGAGAATGCCGATCAATCTCGGTGTTGTTTAAGGACACATTGGTATAACAAACAGTACAGAGACAAAAGTGTAAGAAATACTCTTTATTCAATCACAGTCAATGAAAAAGCAAACTCCTCACTACTCACTAAAAAACACAAACTTGCATTCGGTCATTCAAAACATACAGTTCATCTGCTCTATGTGGCTGACAGTGGAAAATCTAACCAACAGTTCATTAAATACAAGCTAAGTCACATCACAGTCTCAACATGGACCAAAATAACAATAATAATCTCTTCAATGTGCATTCAGCATAACAGCATGTCAAGCAACAATTAAACATGGTAATGGTTAAAACAGAGCAGCAAAAACAAAATGACTGATAATAAATACATTTTATGCCATGTAAACAAAATTGAAAATTCTTCCACAATTTTAGTCACAAAGGGTCAAAGTCAGATCAAGCACCAAGGGCAACTGGCATAAAAATAATTTCAAATTCGGATACACAGGGTTCATTATCAGACCGCAAAATAAAAATCCTCCCTTAAGACTGACCAGGAGACCACTTACACCTGCATGTTTAATGTCACATCAGAGTTGTTTCATTCTCGTATTCATTTCAGAGTTAACACTAAAATAGGGTGAAGAACAATTTGCAAATCTTAATGCAAAACTTTGCTGAGAGGCAATGTTTGAGTTTTCTATATAATTAAAATGTTATTCCGCAATAATACAAAACCCAAATGTAAAGACAGCCAACTAAAGCTCGTAGGAACAGAAATCTGCAATGCTAATTACAGCCAAGTGAAACTGCCTCAGCTTTCACATGAAATTATAATTATGTAAGTGTTTTAATTAGTGGCAATTAGAATAAGTTAAATAAATAATTTGTGCAGAAAAGCAGATTTGTTTTGACCGGGCAGGACAAGCACAGCACACAATAATTAGCAGTGTCGCTGTAGATAACAAACCGCTTAAAATAGAGGACGGGGAAGCAAAGTAGTAACTATAGACACAAGTACACAATGTATTTCAGAGAGAATTAATGTGTATACTGGGAGCTGTATATTTCTGGCAGACAGGAATGAGTTCAATTTTGAGCCAGTACATGACAAGTTCCAGAACAATTCACATTTGAGTTTGTAATCATGTTGTAATGTTTTCTTTTCAAAACATACCTGGAGTTTTGTTTCATTCACATATACAATATATTTGAGAAATCTTACCTATTTTATTTCATACACTTGGTCCTACTAGGTTTATTTGCCAAATATTGTAACAAAAGATACTATTACTTAAACTAGTATACAGAAAAAAAAAAAAAAATCACCTTTCCTGAACAATTTTAAAATAATCTTGATCTTTATCAGAACTGGTATAAGACCTAAGGGTGCTGCAAATCGAAATTGAGCCTACTCCTTAGTATTAAAATACAGTTTGAAATGCTAGTGTAGGTTCTACTGCATGATGTCATTAAGTGGTAGTCCGGGAAGCGCTACACTGGCCATAAACATTCACCCGAATTACTACTGCTAGAATATCAGTAATAATAAGTCTATAGTCTACACACCAAAGTAACGCAATACAGCATGAAACATGATTGGCAGAACTCAAAAAGGTACTTTGGTTTTGGCTAGACTCTGATGAGATAACCACAACAATCAATCAAACAGTCAAACACAAGTCAAAAAACGTACAAAATCTATTCTAAAATCTTTCTTACCACAAAAAGCTACATTGCATACTGTAAAAGTTTAAGAATCAGTGTTGTCTACCACTAAAAACAATTTTATTTTGCACATAAATAGATCTGCTTAAACTCTAATAGTGTCATTCCCTTATTTGAAGAAGTTTGCCTAGACCCTGTGGAAAAGTCACTGAAAGAAGTAAAAAATGAGGTTTCCAGTTGTACGTTACAGACTAGGTCCTACACATGAGCACATCTGCAAAAGGTCCTAGTAGGTTTTTGTTGAAGATACATCGCACCCAAACCAGGTAAGTCGTGAATGGTTTGATGTTTTCTGAAAAGGTATAGTTTTGCTGTGGAAGGATGTAAGGCATGTAGGTATTTTCTCCCTGCTCTTGTATCCAAACTTCATATTTTACTTCTCGTACTTTCAAAAACTTTAAATTCCACGGTATTTGCCAAGAGACTGTGAGTTTGGCCTCATTTGATGTTTGAACTGAAGTCTGACAGTGAGGTTCTCTAACTCTTCCTGGGTGTACCAAAGTTGCTGTTTTTGACTTCTTTAATACTGGTTTTGTTTTCATACCTTCCTTGAGAGCATCCAAAAATGAAGGTATATCCACCAACGTGTCCTGGTAGATTCGGAAAAGCCATTCAGGATTCCTACAACACAAATGTCTGGGGACATCTTTGCTAGCTTGTATCCGTTCCTGTTCTGCTTTTTCCAAATGACTGATGCCTCCTTGCTCCCATGGTCTATCGGGATGTGTAACTGTATTTTCCTCAATGTTGTTTCTCCATGAAATGTAGTGCAAGTCCATGCCAGGTAGGGACGCCAGTGTCTTGTAAGGGGTGTACTGCTCTGGGTTGACCGCGAATGGGAACAACTCAACCACTATGGCACCTCTAGGTAAAAACAGAGATGTGATTAACTGTGCTCCATGCATGCTAACCAACATGTATGCCCCACTTATGACTTGAACTATGCTCGGGTAACTCTGGTCTTCCAGGGACACTGTGACTACTCGCATTTGAAACTCTTGCGCAAGTGCCATGATCAATTCTGCTTCATTCAAGATCAGCCTTGTTGTTGAACGACTAAAAACGACTATGTAATCCTCCTTTTTGTCCTTATCTTCAGCACTAGCATCCGATTCCTCTGCTCTAGAAATGTTCATCTTGTCCATCAAAGTTTTAGCAAATTGCCGAATTTCATTTCCTGATACCAGAATGTTGGCTTTAGGTCCTTGTGGTTGCACAAAACCATACTGGTACCATGTAGTCATCTTTGACAAGCCGACATATGATTTTGTAAAACACATAAGCTTACCAAAGTTTTTTAGTTGTTCTTTCAATAGAGGTTGCTTGCTGCTAAGAAGTCTGTATAGATCAAAATGTGGTCCCTCACTCCACCCTTCCATGAAAACTAGCCTAGCTTCGTCATCCAAGTCCGAATACTGCTTCATGGTGTAGTAAGCAGGCAAGAGGTCATCATGGAAAACGTGCATTAAATTATCCGGATTGAAACGATTTAAGATAAGAGTCACATCAGGCACAAATACTGGCTTGGGCATTAATTTCAGTGCTGCGACTGGTAGCTCTAAAAAGTTAAAATATTGCGTGTTGTGATCTTCTACTGACGACAAGTCCAACAAGGCTGGCTGAAAGCGTCTAGACCCTAAATTGGGCAACATTACCGACGAATTTGAGTGGAAAAAGACAAACTCCTCCGCATCTGAACAGTAACAGAGGTAGTCGAATCTGCATATGCGATCTGTATGCATCTTCCCAGTACACACCATCTGCGTCCCATGTTGCTGTAATGACTCAAGGGCAACATGGTAGTCTATCCGGGCTTGGGACAGCTCTTGGGATTGCCTGGTCATGTGGAGCTCTTCCTCCAGTAAAGCAGCGTGCTCACTGAGTTTGGAGTATTTCCAAAGCAGGGCAGCGACCACAGACACCAGCAGCCCGTTGAGGAGGGTGCCGAGGGTCATCCTGCACCCGGCCACCGAAGCCCTCATCACAGCAGCTGCTCAGGCCACACCTCCCGACTCCAACCAGGCTCCACCCAACGTGCGAGGGAGCGAGACATCCGCCAACCAGAGAGACTGTGGGAGACAAAAGAGAAAAGGATGTTAGCTAAGAATGCAAAGAATAAGGTAGGCTGTGCAATAATCAAATCAAAGTCTTTTTTTGGGTCTTTTTATTAAGAGGTCAACAGCCAATCCTCTTTCAGTAAAAGCATACCGTTTGGACTTGACTTCAGACTTCAAAGGAATAGATTGGACTATCTTTGTGTTAAATGGCACTGATTTTTATATAGCACTTTTCCACCTTTAAAGGCACTCAAAAGCACTTTACATCTATCATCTATTCACACACATCCACATTCATACACCAGTGTATGCAAACAATGGGGGCAAGGTAAGTGTGTTGCTCAAGGACACAAGAGGATTCATCTGTGAGAGCTGGAATTGCACTGCCAACCTCTTGGTCTGACTGCTCTACCAATGATATTTATGTTGAGATTTGAACGGTCAAACTTCGGATCAGTGGACAAACACACTGAGCTACTGTTGCTCGATTATAGTCTGTCATATTAAATTCAAGAAATTAAGATTGAAAATCTCATTTATTAGTTTATAAGAAAAAAAAAAAAGAATCAAATAAAAAAATTGTGATGATAGATAGATACAAGGTAAACTATTACAGGTCAAGTCTAAAGACAGAATCAACCAACTGCCATCCATATGTGTACCTATTTTAAGTGATTAAGTGATTACATAAATGAAATTATGGCTAAGACACATTTACCTCTGAACTGGAATTCGCAATTGCAAGATACAGCTGTTGTCTTAACCTAGGCCTGCACGCTGCAAGTTCTTGTGGGGCCACCAAAAGAGCACTCATATGTAATTATGAAATGAAAAGATTGCCCTTTAAAGCTTTGTCTTCGTCTATCTGAGCTACACAATGCGATGATTCACTAGGGTCAGTATTACACTCCCACCTTCACTAGCACCATTTGTTTACCTTGGCAAATAAATGAGACTTTTTCCTGGGCTAACCTTCTCTGGATATGTCAGGACAAATTACAGCGAGAGAAAAGAACAACCCGGCGCGGCTCTCGAGCGGCTCATCTGCATACCCACCAAACAAGTGAGTCATTGAGAGACTAAATCAAACCAGGGGCTAATGGATAGCAGCTGCCAGCCAACACGAGGCAGCCAGCATGCTAAACAACTATCTGAAGAGTTCACCTGGATTAATCTGCAGAGGGGAAAGTTGTTTTTACAAAGGAATCCTCTCATGACTTTGCTAAGGTTATTCAATACAGAATGTAACTATTCAAAATGCCATGGTGTGGAGCAAGCAGTTTTTTGCTGAAATTGTATAATGTACAAATATATATTCCAGTTCAAACAAGACTATGTAAATTATCAATTAATATGAGAAAAATAATGCAATAATAATAATGTTATGAAAGATTTAATGCAGTGTCTTTGGAAGCCGTGTGTTAATAATGATCAAGAAATGTTCTATTATTTAGTGTTGAGAATGTTTTGTTTTTAGTGAAAAAACAACAACAAATATTCAGTGCTGAGTAACATTCCAGTTTTGTGATATCAAAATTGGTCAAGCATCAAGCCTTTTTGTTAGTATCAAAATTGAGTTTGAAATAAGCACTGAAACACTGAAAAAAGGTGTGTCAGTCTTATTTTCAAATTTATGGTAAGTACTTCAAGACAAATGACAAGTTATAAAATGGCAAGATATGAACAATATATTTTGAACACAGGATATTAATTCACACAAATCAAGATAAAAAAGAAACTGCTCATACTGATTTTCATCAAAACTAAAATCTCAAACCTAATTTATTTTTCTTTCTGCTGTTTCACACAATATCACAACAGTGAATCCAGCTTTCACACCACACATGCTTCTCTCACCTACCATTGGGGAGTTGTAGTTGTAATCTTGTACCTTCACTGTCTGTCTTTTCCCAGAATGTTTTTTTTTCACAGAAGAAACACTTTTTGCCTTTTGTTCCCATAGTTGTCAGGCATTTCAAGTTTTTTTTCCCCCCTTTTTGTACAAGAAGAGAGAGGTGTCCAGGGATATTTTGACACGGCAGTAGTACAATATGTAACTGGGAATGGAGTGACAGGATGTGATCAAATTCAAAAACAGACTTTATAAAAGTAATGATGCACAGTAGATCCTAAGAGATTGAGAGCTTTAGAAAGATTATGTGTTGAGTCAAATTGCCTACATGCATTGCCTTTAAATTTACAGTGAACTGAATGTTACCTTTGCTGACAAGGAGAGTTCAAGCTGGGGATGAGAGGAGGTGAAGTTTGGGCCACGTTTGAAATAAGAAAGAAATTATAAAAGGGATATCTCTAGATCTCTGTAAGATTAAACTGCAGGTATATTAGGAGGCTTTCAAAAGTGAGCTGTCAAAATGAAATGTGTAAAGTTATAAACACTAAAGAAGACAAGTTTGGCAGTTCCATTAGAAAAGACCATTTAATTCACTTTCCTTAAAAAAAGAAAGAAAAAAGAAACACAAAACACATTACTTGTCTGAAGAGGTTTAATATGTCATCCATGCATGATTCAGTAATGCAAACATCTGTTCCGGGTCCTATTCGAACCTTCCTTATGGTTATCTGTAAGATTCTATCCAGAGCTCAGCCCACACAACAATTCTCCATAAATATACAAAAGCATGATACAAAACTATAAACAACAACTCGACCAAACTGATGCAATGTGCAGTAGCATGTGGAATGCACGCTGATTGTGTGTTGTGATTTAGACTTAGACGGACTTAGCATGGAGAGTTATAAAACATGTTAAGTTGTTTTTGGCCAATATAGCATTTTCAAAACAATAAAATGTAACATGGTGATCTAAATATGTTATCTGTTCTATTGACTTTAAATTGGAAAATTGTCACTCCTCTTTCTGTAACTGCTGCAGTGAACTTTGGATTTTTGGTCTTAAAATATTCGTGTTAACCCGCTCTTGGTGAACCTGGTGTTTTTATTTCACTATTTTATACATAAACATATTCTTGTTCCTAATATGGACCTGACTCCAAATTCTCTCCTATAACTACTAGTCTTGTGAGCTTCATTTGACTGGAAAGCTATAGGTGACGTCACACTCCCTTAGTCCACTTCTTTATACAGACAATGCTTTACCTGCACCAGTCACACTTATCAGTACGATGACACCAGTTTGCACTTCCCCTTAACTGTAATACTAGATAGTAGATAATACGAAAAGACAACACATTATTATGCAAAATGTTTTCTTCAGTGATACAATTCCCTTGCTTCTAAGAGGAAAAAAAAAAAACACTGGTATGAATCATAAATGCTACATGAGTCCTGTCCTGTAGCTCTGGGTAAAAAGCCCATTTCCCGACACAGCGGTGCAGCTCTGGCATCCATACATCAAACTCAACAGCAGCTCTCTCCAGTTACAACAGGAGGGCCTTAGCCATACTTCCTTTTACTATGGGCTTTGTATTCCTGTTCAACCACTCAGGAGGAAACAAAACGGCTCCAGTTTATTTTTGAGCAAACCTTATAAAGCTATGAATCTGGAACACCTGTTGAGATGTATTTTTACTGTGTTTAATGCATTTGGTTCTCTTGGGTTCCAATATTTTTATGCCAACTTACATGGGGATTATTACAATTACAGTAACAAGATAGAACAATGGACCTAAAATCAAAAGCAACTTAGCAAAAGGAAAATAAAAGTTAAATATTTTTCTTCCTTTGTCAGATTGTGTTTCAAAATTTCAAGAGTAAACCCATGAATCAATTGTGCTGAAATAAAACTCTGCTAACAGAAAGGTGGGGCAGATACTGTGAGGCAATGCTTTTTTTGTTTTTTGAAATTAGAAGGTCACATTTGCGGAGTTGTAGATTCTTTAATATTAATGTGTAATGCCCCTTCTTGTATAATAAGTTATAAAGCATCAGGGCACAAAAACTATCCATATTTCTCATGTTTTGTTTGAATATTATTGTTTCTGGCATCTCAGTCTTTTGGTTTGTGCAAATTTTAACCTCTAAAGTGGAAAGGTTAAGTAATTTCACGTTCAATTTCACTCTGGACATGATGAGGCTTTTAAGATTCAGAAACAGTCAGAAGGTAAATTCAACATGACAATGATGGGCTCTTGATTGCTGGCATATTTGGTAGATAGCTCAGATTCAGGATACTTCAAGGTGGGTTGAGGTTAAAATGTTTAATCAAAACTGAATTTTTAAAAACATAAATCACAATGCTTCTCAGAAAAGATGCAGACAGATATTATGACATGATCCTGAAGTTTTTATTTAGCGATTTTATCCATAAATTCCTATTTTTAATATGGAAATGGGTCCAAATTCGCTCCTATAACTGCTAGTCTTGTGAGCTCCATTTAACAGGAGCTGAATGCTATGGGTGACACCACACTTCACTTCTTTATACAGTCTGTGACAACAACCTACAAGCTGAGACATTTGGTGGATCAGTTCCATAAAAAACAACTAATCCCTGAATTATATAATGTTCTTGAGTGCTTGAGTTTAAGGCTGAACGATTTGGGAAAAATATCCAAGTGTGATTCGGACAAGCATTGCGATTGTGATTAGATTTGTGATTTATGTTTAATAAGATTTTGTTCAATGTTCAAGAAAAATTGACAAAAAACAGGTGTACATTTCAGAACAGATCTAAACAATAGGGTCTTATTTGTGCAGAATAAGAAAGGATATTTTGTTGTTTGTGGATGAAATGATGGTATTTCAAAAATTCCTACTTGCATTCATTCAAACCAAAGATGTTCATTCTGTCTCTTTTTGTACTTCTTGGGTTATTTTCAAAAGACAATACAAAAAAGTGTATTTACATTGTTGACATGTTTTAGCTCCTAGCTGCAAGCCATCTTCAAAACTGTCACAGGTGTTAGTGGTGACGTGTTGTATTTCAGCTGTTGTTACTTCCTGTAGTCAGTCTTATTGACCTGGCAGGTGCATTCATTCAAATTGTGTAGCCAATTAGATTGTGATTAATCTTGCAGCCCTACTTCAGTTAA